AAGCTCAAAACCTGATAACTGACCGCAAAAGCTCTTAGAATTATGAACTAGGCAAACATCATTGGATTCAGGTAGCAAACTCCAACTCTGCTACACTCGTCTTGGGACTGCCAAAGGACTTCGGCATGCGACCGATTACATTAGAAGGACTTGAGGAGGTAATTATGTTGAATTTTCGGAGTGTCACTTCTCAACGGCGTTCATAGTTCGCGCTTTCTCGCAGTTTACGAGATTTGCAATAATCAGTGAGCGATCAGATGGTTCAGCTGTTAGCGGTGGACCGCGTTTGCTTTCTTTTTTGTGCGGTTCGCAGAGGCCGCTCTATTCGCGCTCCACCGCTAATCGCTGAACTACTGAGTCGCTGCTGTCGCGGACTATAAACGCTTCTTATTCCAATGAAGTTCATTTTGAAATCGCATCGGAAAGAAAGGACAAGTAAAACTGATAGAGCGAAATTCTTACCTTTAGACCACTTCACATCCTGAAGGAAAGCGTCGCGAGAAAGCCGAACGAGTGAAGGATGAACGAGAGGACTTCCGGCATAAACGTCAAGCCCCCGAAAGTCGCGATTGTGGTCTTATTGATATGGTTGGTCAAACACCTGGCTTTGATCTCCAGGCGTTATCAGTGATAACTTATCACCGTTTCGAGTACTAGTTTCTGATATACATGAGTTAAGCTGAACGGCACCTACAAGACGACTGTGGTCATCCAGACCAATAACCTTGGCATTCCCGGATTGGTAACCTCCATGGATCAGCTCTACGAAGTCTCGTGCGATTATTCAAGCATGCTTGGTGGAAAAGTTCAGGCTGGATATAACATGACCGTTCTGTAAGTTACTAGCACTCTATAACTCGGTCAAGTGGCATTTTTCGGCTTGGGAGGTGCATTTTCCCCTTCGCTAGTTCGTGTTAAATAGCTGGTCCCTATTGTTGTGACCTTAAAGCTCTTGTGAAATGGTACAATGGAGCCAGTTTGGTTACAAGAATTCACAGGTTACAAACCTTCGCTGAGTACCATTCGATGCCCCCACCAAGCCGAACTGCGCCCATGGTGATCTCTACCAGATACGGCACTCAAAATCACTAAAGAACTAGTGGCGGGCTCCCACGCAAGTGAAGCCGTCCGAATTCACTTCACGTACTATCTACTTATCGCATCTGCCACTCATATGGGTGGGGGACGGCTGGCAATAAGAAAAGGCTAAAACCTTTTCTGTTCGCCTGCGCTCTCTAAATGAGATAGCGTTCGCCTAACGACTTTCCTCATTCAACTTGCCGTGGGGGAGCAAACGTTTTCTACCTTCGCCAAGGATGTCCAACTACCTCAGCAAGCCACACGAGTCCAGATGAAAAAACACGATCGTGTGTTTGAAGTTCAGGGTGGGGGGATCACAGTACAATGCTCGACCCAACGCCATTTCTTATGATCGACTGGACCAACTCTCTGGGCTTACGCCTGTTGTGGGAGGGACCAAACTTAACGACTGGGCCATTATCTCATCGAGAAGGGAGCAGAAAATTTTTTTTCGGCAGAGAGGTAGATGCGCCATAGTCGCGCGTTGATTGGCCGCCCACTCCTTCAACCCTGAACTGTACGCCCGACCACTCTTGTAACATTTTTCTTGCTTACAAATGATTCTTTGACATTCCTATAGGGTATTGCTTTAGCCGTAACCAAGATGGTATAAAAGTTTTATTGGCTAACGTTTCGGCGCCTTATCGCCTTCGTCAGAGCCTGGAAAAAGTCAAAAATCAAAGTGAAACTACCCTCGGAAATCATTTCAAACCTCAGATAAGCTAGTCCCAGACCAGTAGGATCCAGAAAGTCATAGAACACAACCACAAACGACTCACCTTTAATGCACGACCGGTTCTTGTTTGGAGACCACCGCTAAATAGACTCCCCGTCGATGGCTCAGCTGACCTGACCGGCTCTACTTGGTATGCGATGGCATAACTGAAGCCGCACTACAGTCAGGCAAACGGGGCGAAGCTTCGTTTGTGATGGTCCAGGGCATTCGTCCGCTTAATCTATTCCCATTCTGAGGATTTTTAAAGCGGCTAATCCAAAAACGCATTCACACAAAGTTTGGCGCGCGCGAAGTCTGTGGTTCTCCGCATCAAAAATCCCTAAACCGGTCACCTCACCCGGCGCACACGTGGAAAACAGCTGAGAAACATTCGGTTAGCGAGGGAGAAGGCCTTCTAACAGTTGGCTCTCAATTCCTCAATGTCAGATCTAGCTTTGAGTTCTAAATCTGACGCAAGTGGTCACCAGGGAGATCTACCACAAGAATATATCTTAGTCCATTTCCGGTCGGCGCATCCTCTAGGGACCAAACGGGCTATCAACAGGAACATGTTCAGGACAGCCAAAATGGTCTCTTCAGGTGAGAAGGAAAGAGAAGAGTCCTGGAGCTAGCTCGGAAAATAAGCCTCTCTAATGGCTACCCCCCAGAAGACAAATACCCCCTAGACCACCCACTAGGAGTCAACAAAGTCCTGTGACCGAGGATTGGGAGAAAGTACCCATTTTGCTTACGGCTTCGTGAGTGATGGTATCAAAGCGCTGCTGTACTTAATTTGGCGCAGATGTGGTCTCGACAACCATGGTTCGATTGTGCGAGCTCCAAACCTGCGAGCCTCAAGCAGCAGCTGATGCTGCAAACCGCAGGGTAATGCATCGTACTGCCCCACCCACAATTGTGGTGAACATGTCCTTCTGGGCGGGAGGGGGACTGCATGGAATCAGGTGTGATCTACCTGATATCATGCAAGAGTTGTGGGGATGAGTACATCGGGGAGACTGGACGACCCCTGTGCTCCAGGGTAAAGGAGCACCTAGATGGTCTAAGGCGATCTAGGCCAGAGACCCCCCTGGGCAGTCATCGGGTTCAGTGCCATGGAGGCGCGGAGTTTGAGGTGACGGTTAGGATTTTGATGCGAGAACCACAGACTTCGGCGCGCAAAACTTTGGAAGCGTTTTGGATTAGCGCTAAAAATCCCAGAATGAATAGAAAGGACGAATGCCTGACCATCACAAACGAGCTCGCCCCGTTTGCTGACCTGTGTGGGCTTCAGTTGCCATCGGCATCAAGTAGAGCGGTCAGGTCAGCTGAAGCCACCGACGGGGAGTCTATTTAGCGGTGGTCAAACAAGAACCGGTCGTGCATTAGGTGATGGCCGTTTGTGGTTGTGTTTTCTATGACTTTCTGGATGCGCTATCTGATCTGGACTAGCTTTCTGAACGGTTTGAAATGATTTCCGAGGGTAGTTTCACTTTGATTTTTGACTTTTTCCAGGCTCTGACGAAGGCGATAAGGCGCCGAAACGTTAGCCAATAAAACTTTTATACCATCTTGGTTACGGCTAAAGCAATACCCTATAGGAATTCAAAGTATGCCAAGATTCATCGAGAGTCGAAACTGGATTCTTTGACATTTTTTTAATTGTTCGTCAATAAATCTTCGAATTACAGCGGTCCCTGACCAAATCTGATCCAACCGAGAGGAAAGATCGAGCTGGGCAATCCAGTATTCATGCAGCTGGTGAGCGGTGACGGAGAACAACCCGTCGTTCAGGTACCGTAACTATTTGACAGAGATCGACTTGACAATCAGTCCAGGACCTTCATCGAATCTGTAATTTTTTCAGGCTAAACTTGGGGACATCTTGGAGTTACGATGGGAGATCATGGCCATGGATGATGAGCTTGATTTCTTCGTCAAGGACTGTTTTGCCGAGCCCGGTGTAGGAGCACGAGCCGAAGAGAAACTCCAGCTCATCCAAAGGAGGTGGGTGACCGTTTCCAGTGC